TGTGTGTATATATATATATATATTTTTTTTTTTTTTTTTTTTTTTTTTTTTTTTTTTATATATATATATAAAAAAAAAAAAAAAATATATATATATATATATATATATATATAAAAAAAAAATATATATATATATATATATATATAAAATATATATATATATATATATATATATATATATATATATATATATATATATATATATATATATATATATATATATAATGTATTAAACTATACATTATTTGTATCACTTCATAATATCCATACATCTGATAAGCTTTTTTATTAATGGACAGATATTGAGGTTTCATAATGTTTTACATTACATTATTTCAATATAACAAGCAATAACAAAAAAATATCAGAAATGACAACAGATTGTTGTGAATCCACTCCATTGATAATTTGGTGGTGTGCTTTGGGTCACTGTCCTGCTGGAAGATGAACTGTCGCCCTAGTCTGAGGTCAAGAGCACTCTCAAGCAGGTTTTCATTCAGGATTTCTCTGTACATTGCTGCATTCATCTTTCCCTCTATCCTGACTAGTCTTCCAGTTCCTGCTGCTGAAAAACATCCCCATAGCATGATGCTGCCACCTCCACGCTTCACTGTAGGGATGGTATTAGCCTGGGGATTAGCCAATGCCCTTTCCCCCCCAATCATTTAGCTTAGATGGTCAGCCAACTCTAGGAAGAGTCCTGATTATTAAGGTTTTTTTATAATCAATACTTGCAACAATTAAAAAAATATATATGTTTTCACATTGTCATTTTGGGGTATTGTGTGTAGAATTTGAGGAAATTTGAATTTTGGAATAAGGCTATAACATAAAAAAAATCTATAACAAAAAATATCGCCAACAATCTATTCTCAAATTAGGGTTGGGAGCTGGGTCTATTCTATGCAAGCTATGATGACTTTCACCTTGATATTTTAGCATGGATGTACTGTTTACCTGACAAGTGTCAAAAAAAGTGCCCTTCTAAATCAAATCAGCAGGATGCTCTTCTGGATCTTTCACTTACTTTGAAGACTCTACTGACTACGTTTATATGGACATCTGCAATCTAGTTATTTGCCTTAATAGACAATACTATAATTAAGGTGTTTACATGAAGTGCTTTCATGTAAGAGTTTCTTGTAATTTTAGGTGACTTAAACTGCAGTTCAGCAGGTTCTATTTTTAGTTTAACTTTAACTCATTTCATTCATGCCCCCATGACAAGCTGGGCTATTAGACTCAAATAATACCCCTTTACTGACAGCCGCGTGTGTGTATCTAGTTTGATGTATTGTGGTGTTACTTTAATAATGCCACTAATATATGCATAATCCAATTCTTAATTCCATTTCTGTTTAGTTATGACTTTAGTCGGATTAAAGTAATCAAAAATCGCTGTTTCTGTAGGCCTACAGTTTAAAAATCATGTTTAACTGAATAAACAGTTAACAGAAGTAAACCTTTTGAACAAAATTTATTTTCATCACCAATTATCATAGTAGAACAGTTTCTTAAGCAGTTTGTGATGCATTTTGGAAACAGGAGATAACCCCCTGACCCCTTGTTAACTGGATATAAGCTGGCATTAAATATTATATTAGATGAGACGCTGCATTGGCAACTTGAAATATGGATAAATTGGTTAAGGAAAAAAGAAAGAAGCAAATAAAGGAAGAGAAATGCATATCAAATGCACATCTATCCATCAGAATATACTGTATATAGATCTAAATATCACTAAAATTAACTTGTAAGGAAAAAAGATAAATAATCAAAAATAATTTATTGTACTTTATTAACTTTTTAAAATAATTTTTATTTTATAGCAGAAACTCTACCTCTTATATAGCCTGGCCAACCCTTCAGCTCTACCTTATTCACTTCCAGAGTTTGTTTGTGTGTGTGTATGTGTGTTTTCTCTTGTATTTTGTTTTGAGCTCAAGCCTGTGCTTGTCAGCTTGAGTTAGTTCTTGGACTGAGAGTTTCATCCAGTGCCAGTGTTGTTTGCCAGAGGTTTTGCCTCTGGTTTTTCAGCTCTTTCGCAGCCCTTCAGATGCTTTGTGTTTGTTTTGGGCTTCTTACATTGAATCCTAATAGAGGCCTGCCACATTGTGCAGACTCCCCTGTAAATAAACGTCATTCATCTGTTCGCCATTTTTTCCGGTTTGCATCCAATTTTGTTCTCACTTATTTAACCAAACCACAACCTCCATTTGTCCCGCAACTTCTTGATCTCTCAATTAACCGCTGATGTGGCCACATTCCGTAGTTTCCCCATACATTCGTTTTTGAGCGCATGCTGCTCTTTCTTCTTGGCCTGCGGTCTAGTGCGCAGACGGAGCTGGTCTTATGTAACCCTCTGCTTCTCTCCCTGCCGTTTCCCACTCTCTGCCATCAGAGGAAGCGGCTCCCTGTGCGCCTGTAAATCCTGCCTGCTGTTTGTCCGAGGGACAGGTGGCCGCGGTCCTATCCCGTAAACACTATTGACACAGAGAGATGTTCGCCTTGTTTACCCTTCTAGTGGGCGCTGTCGCTCGCAGAGCTCCTCTTGTCCATATGTCAAGAGGTTGTCACCTGTTATCCTGTAAATCTTTCAGCCACTGGCCTTGGAGAAGTGCACAACTTATAGTTATGCTGTATTAGTGATCTACACTGTAAAAAAAAAAAAAAAAGTCCATGATATTCAATGGTAAAAAAAAAAAAATAAGTTGCTTAATTTTATGACTTTATATCACCACATTACATTATGGTTCAGTTTTTACATGTGAAACAAAGCTGCGTTGTGTAGATGTTAGTACTTCAAAACATTTGTGTTTATCTTTAAATTAATGAAATATGGTAATTTACTGTGATATTTAAATAATTATTTCCTATACCTACCATATTTTTACCCTCAAATTCCAGCAACCACTGCTGCCTTTTTGCCGTACATTTTACAAATGAATTTTTTACAGAGTTAGCAAGTTAAACTTTCAGTGTATTTATAAAGCACGTTAATAGAACAAAGGTTGTACACAGTTTTGTACATATGCAATACAAAAGAAAAATAACAATAAACAAAATTTAAGTAAACATTTTCATAAAACAAATATATATATATTAATAAAATTCCATTTTTACTCAATAACCTAATAGCACACAGACCACAAATCGAACCTCAGCCTTAACATCTAATACTAGTCTATTAGATCATTAAAACAATAATAATTTGATAATAACTGTAAATCAATTATACAAATTGTTCAAAATAGCCTACTGTAACATCTGCAATTATATAAAATAAATAAATGCAATATGTATATACATATACAGACCCTTACATTCTCCGAAATGTTACCAATTACAGAAACACTACACACAGCATACGTTTAGTCCTTATTTGTGTTTAAAAACAACAGACACATACAGTCAGTGCAAACCTCTCATCTGTATCTTATTCTTTGCCAGCAAATTTAGCCTCTTGTTATAAAGTATTTCCGTCATTCCAAGTTCATAATAGTCCAAAAGGCGATTGATAATAGAGTTACATGGCAGTTTTTTCACGTTTTAAGTTGCTGAAACAATCATTTGTTGTTGTTTTTTTCAGGCTTCTCCTTTGTTTTTTCACGCTTCACTCTGGCGTTTGTCCATTTCTCAAAGGATGTCAGAAGCACTTCAATAATCATGTGCACGTAATATAATCAGCTCAAGAAGTTTGTTATTTCAAATATAGACACGCGACGAGCAATCACAGCTCTATAGAGAAAGTGAAACCACTTGCACTTTTAGATGGCCTCTTAAATAATAACAAGACACATGGTAGATTCTGCTCTTCTTCTTAACTTTGCAGCTGTTCATCAAGACGATGACAAGGTTTGTTTGAGCTCAGGTTGACCATGGATTGTTATTATATGTATATATTATTATGATTTTGTATGGTTTAAAATGGTTAATGGTTTTGGCCATTAAGGCACATTGTTGACGTGTTGCTATTTTTAGGCAACTAAAATGTATATGTGTTATTTAAAGTGTGAGCGGTGCATTTGGTATGCTATAAATGTCACATAC